TATATATATATATATATATATATATATATATATATATATATATATGGTTCCGCTAATATATATAATAATGCTATGCACCATTTTTCGGATTACTGAATTAAGCATTTTGGAAGCTTTCTGAACATGTTTATGAAAAGCAAGCTGTGTCCATGATCCATCCAGTGCTCTTCATTTAATATTTAATATATACATATATATATATATATGTATGTATATATCACTTTTGTTCTGCATACGAAACTTCAAGTTCGTCCAATAATTTCGTAGTTCCTTTTTCTTTAATCAACCCCGAGGTCCAAAGCTATCCGCTCAGACATATAAATATTTCCATACTTATTTGATATATGATATTTAATTTGGAAAGAAAAAGTTTAAAAAATAATATATAGAAAGAAGATGCCTAAATTAGGAAATATAATAGGTGCAAGCCGCAGAACAATATATATACGGGGATCGATGGGCACTTGTGCAGCTTTTTGGGACCAGATAACTCTCAACGTGCATTCGGAAGTTGTCAATATATTAGTATTTTATACATTTTTCACGTGGGCACATACATGAGATGTCGGAACGGAAAAACAAGTCAAATGTTCAACTATACGAGGGTTTCATTATTCACGCGCAATTTAAAAAATGGCGTATTTATCATACTTTTATAATTAACGTACCCAATAGTGTGTATATCTTTTTTTTGTGCTGTTTACAATTTTATACCTAGTAAGTATGTGTGTTTGCGACCCAACATATCTCGTGGATGAGTGGTCAAGTTTGGGGTTGGAGTTAACTCCACCTTGAGGTTGAGTGTTCGATTCCTGGCTGATGGGAAAGGAGGTAAATTCTGGGTTTATATGATCCATATACAAAAGCTGCTCCCGGACCGGAAGTTTATCTAGTCAGCGCGTCCGAAGCCTAGCAGCTAGGGGTTCTTTTTTTATAAAAAAAAAAGTAAAGTATGTGTGTTTGCATTATAAATGTTGACCAATGTTATATTCTCCAATGATTTTTTCAGTTCTTTTTTTTAAAAAAAAAAACTTTCTTCTTTTCATTTGGTTATTTATAGATTGCGCCTAAAACCTTGACTCCAATTCTAAACCCTAAATCAAACCCAGACCCTAAATCATATATCCTAGATTTCATAGAGTAAAATCTGGTTGATAATTCCTCTTAAATTTAAGCAGATTCTTTAGGTTTTGTGGTTGCAACTCTAACTCTGATAATCGAAATTAAACTGTAACATATAACTTCTAATTAGGCTGTTCATCTCAAGACTACTATTAATCCACGTAATTAACTGTATGATGATATTTTAGTTTTGAACCCTAACCAAAGTATTTTTGCATCTTGATTACGTCGATCTATCCCGGCCGCAATCTTTCCATACAACGGAAGCATGAACTGACCATATCTAAATTTCATCTATATATGGCTTTCAATATCTTCATGGCAATTGTTCTAGGGATTGTATTATGTGTTTTCCTTTGGTTTTTTTGTAGGATACAGCGCGTAAAACTACGCGTTTACAATTTTCTTATAGATCAATACAACTTGCGCCCGTATCAACACATTTTGTAATTTCTTCTCCCACGCATGCAGACTATTGATATTATCAAAAGACCGAATGGTGCAACATAGAGAACCTTGGCTTTACTTTTGTCGGTACTTATTTTATCTTGAAGAAGACCAGTGGCAGTCATCATGTCGAAAAAACGCATTCAAGTTATAGATATTCACAGCATATATTATATTTTCTTCTATTCAAGTTTCTGAATCTATATACATACATATATCTGACAGCACGTTAGAGAAATATCTATTAAAAGACCGACTTCTGCACGTTAGAGAAAATCTATTAAAAGACCGACTTTTGCAGCATAATGAACACGGTCATAAACACACACAGAGGAACAATGAAGCACTAGGAACCCACTAATAAAAAAATAACATTATTTAAAGGAGATTATATATATATTATAAAGAACCTTAATTTCAGCACAAAGAATCCACCACCATCATCATCTGTCACTATTATGCAGTATGTTTTCCGTTTTTTTTTTTAATATTTATGATCATTTATGTAAGTTTTATTTTTTCAAAATTGTTTTCAATAACAATGACACGCATTAATCACGACGTGAAAGTGCCCTTTATACTTTATATATATATATATATATATATATATATATATATATATATATATATATATACACAAGTATAATAGTATAAAGGCTTCTCGGGAGTTTCGGCAAGAACCAATATGGAAAGTGACCACACCTTCATCATGTTCCTTTTATTATTATTTTTTTCTTGACAATTCCATAGCTCTTTGTACGTTTATAAAATCCATTTGATCCGCTGACAGGGATCCATAACAACGAATCATACGTGTAATTAGGGTTTATGCGTGAATATATTTACCGAATTACCGCGATGAAATTAAACTTCATCAGGACGTGCTCAAAGTCGATCATGGCACTGTCCATCGCAAGCTTATTCACCATTAGCATGATTCTCCACCACAAATATTCGACCCCTTTGCTCAGAGCACACAATGATCTCGAGAAAGAGACGACCCTCCATTTCTTTCTCCACGACACACCTGGCGGACGAAACCCTAGCGCCGTCAAAATCGTAGCTCCGTCGGACCAAAGCCGCGACGACACCTCGCAAACGCCGTTTGGCACCGTCTGGGTGGTGGACGATCCGCTGACCCTTGGTCCCGAACGGGATTCGGCCGTCATCGGGAACTCGAAGGGCATGTACGTGTCGGCGGGCAGACACGACCGAGTGATGGTAGCTTATCTCGACTTCGTATTTACAATATTCCCTTTATACAAAATTGACGGTAGAGTTCGCCGTGGTGGGAGGCCGAGGTGTGTTTCGGATGGCGAGAGGATTTGCCAATCTTAAATGCGTATTTTACAACGAGAGTAACGGTGATTCAATCGTGGAATACAACGTGGTCGTGAGGCACTATTGAATCACGACGTACGTACGTATGTAGTAGTTGTTGGTGCGTCTATTACCAATGTCTCCATTCAATCTGTCCTGTCTTATAAATGTTGTAATAAGATGTTTGCTAGACTTCAACAGTTCCACCATTTGTACAATGCTTTCTAATTGGGATCATGAATGTAAAATATATCTTCCATAACCAGCCAACACAACCAAATTAGATCTGGAAATAACATAAGAGACCCAAATTCCTAATAATTGTTAAAATGGGAAAACGAATATGTAATTGGAGTAAAATAAGATTTGAGATACAATATCATTATGGCAAGATGTATTATCGAGGAAAATGATGTCAATGCACTACATGCATGGATGGATGTTAGCAAGTTATGGAAACTTATTTATGTACCAATGTCACGAGACAAATGCGTTCATCGTGTGTTAGTATGTGGCGAAGAATTCTGATTAACTTTTGAGGATTATTAACGTTAAAAAATTTACCCATCATGAGAAAGTACGTATAAGCATATCATAAAACACAAAATATACAGTAAAGTTGTTGAATAAATAAGAACTTATTAGCAACAAGTGCTACACGAAATGGATATCACAAACCTCACATAGACTCGATAAATGAAAAATTAAACCCTAAGGCACAAATTCCAGATCTGGACCCATACGGTCCAAACATCAACTCATCAATAGTACGATTTTTAGCTAATTTTTGGACGAACAGTTCGACCAATGAGCATGCAAGTCCACAAGAGGCTTTATCTTGAGGGTAGGATTGTAGTCGAAGAAGTTGGTCGGCTTCAGTTCAAACCCTCCCTTTAAGACCGACATTATCGGGAAATCTTCTTGACAAGGGACGTGGTGAAACGCCATTGTATACCACACGACTATATCCTTGTTCTCTATCTCCCTGTTTCTGCAAAATCCAAGCAACGATGGTTAGCAAAACTAAAATCCGCCACAAACATGAATAAATATCGTTTATACATATAAAACAAACCCCCGAGTCCAAACGGCTATGTTATCGTCTCCTCGGCTCTGATCCGGATATTTTCCGCCGATCCATTTCTCAGATTTGTTGTAAGGTGTGACCCATATGTTATATTTGGTAAACGCAGCCCTAATCTGTGGATAGTCATCTTCGGACAAAAGAGGGACCGAGTTCAAACCCGGAACCAACTTGTACCCGACATTATTCCCAATCTTTGTTTTCTTGTTCGGATTCACCACTGTGATGTCGACGGGCTTCGTCGGGTCGAGTTGAATCTGACCGTCCGATTCTCTCTCCGCCGTCTCACTGGCCACAGTCCAATAGCTCTTTCGTGGCGAGACATGATTGGTGGAGGTACGACGTGTCACCAGCCGGTTCTTCACGAAAGAATTGGTCTGGCCGTCAACGTCGAGATCAACATGGAAGGAGATGAAGTGGTCGTGGTGCGTCCCTATCGTGTTCTCCGCTAGTAACGTCCCGAACGCGTCACCGGTTATATTCTCCCGGCGCGTGTACGTCACGCCCCTCACTTCCGGCACTCCGGTTAAGCCCACCTGCCCATGCGCATTGTATGTACATGTCATATCTTATGTATATAAAAAATTGCTCCGACCTGGATTATATGTAGAATATAATTTTACCCATATATTGATCGATCCACTTGGTTTGAACTCCCAATCCATTATATAGTCGTAGCTTCCTAGTGCGGCCACCATCCTCACCGTCAACGTCACTTCCGCTCTTGCCTCCGTGTACTATATAATTTTGATATCGAACATCCAATAAAAAAGACAATTTTTTTACAGTAAAAAAAATATATTTAATATCTAAAGTTTGAAACTTTATCTTTTTTTTTAGCTACCTCCTTTTGGGGAATTCCGAATTCGGTGTGTCTCCATATCACGTTCCCTGTATTCTTCTCGAAGACGCAAAAAGCATTCGAAATCTTCGCCGGAAGGCCACCGGGGCCGGCGAAGTGGGCGTCCATGAAAACGGCATTGGCCGGACAATCCTCCGACGGCCGGAGAGACGCCGCGGATTGGCCGCATCCGTACTCGCCGCAGTCGAAGAATGTCTTGTAGTACCACTCCTCTGTCGGATCCATGTACGGTACGAATATCTCCGACACGAATCCACGGTACATCACTCTACGGTATCCCCCTTTCTCAGCATCGTAAACCGACGCTAACGATATAACCGGTCCCGACCGAGCATCGAAACCCAGGTGGAATTCCCAGTTTGCCCATCTGATTCAAATCTCAATAGCACCACATGATAAATCAACTCAGTAACTTTTATATAATGTAAGCTTTTATCGGTTCTATAACCAAGTTAATGCTAATCATTTTGCGATGAAATCATGTTCAAACCTTATAATATGTCCTTTAATGTCGAATCCTGGTCCATCCGAGGATTGAACGGTGACCGGACCACTGATCTTGGGGCCATAAGGTGGCTTAAGCTCCGTGGCTCGGTACTCTGTCCCCTCGGCCTTTGGTACAGGGACCTTAAATCTGTCTCTATAGTCAACCACTTTCATATCATCAAGGTCTACGACTAATGTCACACCTTCGATTGGCCTCATGAACAAATTCACCGTGCCTTCCGGGTAAAAACACGGAACCTTTACGACCCTTTTCGTCTTTTCTACCTCACCGTACCACCCAGCTGAGAACAACGTGCAAACCACCTTAGAGAGATTCAGGCCCCTTCGTCTCACGGATTCAATAAACGGGCCATACCTAAAAGGTAAATCAACGGCTAAGGATTTTTCATCGGGGCTGTAAACAGGGTAGCCAAACCCTCTGTAGATTTGGCTCGAGAGCATGGACCGTGAGGTTACGTCGATAACCAGCTCGAGGGTTTGTTTGTTGAGCCGAGCTATGGCGGCGGCTCGTCTAGGGACTGCAGCAGCCTGGGTCTTGACAATTTTTGCAGGACTACCCAAGAATCGATTTCTAATAAACCTTGTTTTCGAGCCAGTGTAGCCGACAAGTGAAGCACAAGCATTCACTCGTCGGGGATGAACTGCAGGGCAAACAACCGGTGCATGAAGAGACCTCATCTTTGCTCCTTTAATACAGAACTGTAAAATGCAGAACAAGGAATTTAGTTCTCGTTAACAATGACCAAATTTAACTTTAAACAATCACAAACCACAATAACTGAAAGAGATATGAATCAAAACACGATAAAGCCGTCTCTATCACCTCGTATCTAAAACAACTGAAAAAAACATAATTAGATTTTGAAACACCTTAGAAACTTGAGTTTCAGCAGGTGACAGTGGATCCAGAGGGTGGTGGCTTGGTTTCTTGAGGACAGAAGTTGATGAGAGAGTGGAGTAGGAGACGAGAGGGAAGAAGAAGAGGAAGAGAAGTTGTCCTAATGAGGAAGCCATATTGTGTTTGATGTTGGGTTCAAAAACTCACTAGCAATATCATATGCTTATATAGACGCTTGCTTGTCTTATCGTTTTTATGTTTCCTCAATCAATCAATAATTAATGGGTAAAAAAAATTGAAAGTTAAATTGAACTTTAGTATTATATATGCATTGTTTTATATAACTCGAATTGGGGTTAATTTAGCTTGGGGATTATTTTATTTATTTAAAAAAAACACTATTTGCATTTGGGCTTGGGCCTTTCAGTAAATAAATTGGGCTGACTCAACTTCTGCTCTGATTCTTCGTTAATATTACAATATGGTTAATTATGATTATGGCATTGTTTCTGTTCATCCCAACGTGACAAAAACCATCCACATGTCTGCCGGATTAGACGAACATTAATTAGATATTAGTTATGTCTGGATCATTAATCGTATATAGTTAATTTAAGTAATTTTAGTTTGTTTGAATAATTCAATTGTTTGGTGTATTTGATCATCTTATCTAATTTGTTAAAAAGAGGATTAGCAAACTAATCTTCAATGTCCGACACAAGATTTGACTTAGCCTGCACTACTGTTGATACGCCGAATCAGTTCTGTCTGGATTAATTGCGGTTTAGCCCCTGAATGTTTTGTAACATTTAAATTTAGTCTTTATCTTTTGATATATTACATGTTTACCCCTTAAGTTTTCTCTAACTGTGCATGTTCCAAGCTCTCAATCTCGTGCTTGATGGATTTTCAGGTGACAATTGCTTTATACTGTCTGGGTAGATTAGTGTTTAACACTATCGTATTTATTTATGTTTTTCAAGTCATAATGTTTAAAAAATGTTATTAAAAAGAACTTTCATGTCGAAGAAGGATTTTATAATGTTAACCAAATTGTAAAAAAGTTGTTTATTTTTTGGGAAATCTAATATAATAGTTTTGTTATTTTATAAAGTTTATAAAAATTAAAGAAAAAATGGAAAGTAGAGGTATGTTTTATTGTTTTGTTAAATTAAATAATGTTTTCAATTTCTTAATATTGTAGGTAAAAAAAGTAACATTTTTTAAATTTTGTCCAAGTAATAAATTCAAACGGGTGCAATAATATTGAAGGAGTTGTTCCTTTTTAGTACAGAACAGCGCGTGACTTTCACTCACGTGTCTTTGATAAGCCCACAAGTGGCTTCATGGGCTTCATGCTCTCATCAACCAACCAAAGTCCAACCATCCTTCTTTGTAACAATTTTTTTTTTTTTGGTCGCAACATTAATGTCCTTTTTAACAGTTGGGTACGTGAACAGATGAATTCCATAGAATAGTAGAAGAATATTTTATATGGATTCAACTATGATTTAAGATATCGGATTTCCATATATTCTGTATTTCCAAATTCCCATCAAATCCCCCACACAAACATTTGGGATGCTTATATAATGGATCAGAATTAATAATAGATATTCGAATTTAATTGATTGAATATAATTTTTTAGTCAAATTAAATGGGAATTAAGCGTACTCAAGTAGATTTTGAAGAAAATAATCTAAAAACTAAAGTAAAATCAAATTTTAAATCATTATTTATATTCAGATTGAATATGGACAAAATTCTAAATTCCTAATAAAAACTCGAATATATAAACTTTTTTTCAAATAAATAAATTAAAATTATTAAATTAAAAGCAAATGGAAATCAAATGGTTATGGCATAAGACATGATCTACGGATGATATTAATTTGAAGTTCTTTTTGCACGATTTTATATTATATGCTTTTAACGTATTAAATATTCTATGTTTTGCCACGGATATATTTCAAGAGAGGTACTTAAAGTAAGTTCCATTCCAAATATACAAAGTTTACAGAACAAAGTGAGATTATTATTACTATATCCAGGATGTGCATAAATCTCTGGATCTCTTAATATTGCCATACTTTGAAAACGGTACATTAATTGAAATTGCAATAATATAATATACTTTTTATTTGGTTTAACTCAATTCGAACTAATTCTACATTAGGAAAATAGATAACCCTAGGCACTATTTTTATTCACTCAATAACAAAAAAAAAATCAAATTGAAATTTTGTATTTGGGAATACAGATATGCATGAATCGATATTTGGTAGGTGAATAATATCGGCTGCTTGTGTCAAATAATTATTTAAAATTTAAAATTTTAGAGAAGGCGACATTAATATAATAATATAATTAGGCGACAATGATTTTTCAGGCCTTAGGGCTCTCTATAAATAGACTTCTTCCCTCCAAACAATACCCGTACCACTGTCTCAGCGTTTGTTTTGTATCTCCTCTTCGAGCGAATTATTTTCTCCCATAAAAAAAGATTCAAACATTTTCCATAAAACCCCCACTTTGCTGGAAAACTTTTCATTTTCCTTTTCGTTTTCCTGGAAAATCTTCTCCGTCTTGTATACTTTCCTTCGTTCTTCATCCACGAGCAATACGAATCACTTATACAATATCTATATAGACAATTATACTCGCAGATCATAAACCAAAATGAGCCTATTGGATTTCCCCGGCATTGAATCAGAGAAAGCTTACGCGATGAAGAGGTACGGCGACCGGAGGAATTACCTGAACATCCTCCGCGCTGCCGAAGCCATCTCCGCCGTTGCTCTCCTCGGCTACTGGTGGTTACCAACGGCTATGATATGGCTGGAAACCGCTAACGATTGGATCCGCCGGATCTTCGCCGTCGTCGACAACCATTCCGTCCTCTTTATCCTCATCAACGTCCTCATCATCTCGATTATCGTCCTCTCTAGCGAGAAATCGGAAACCGAATCAGATCTCTACGATCAATACACCGCCGCCGCAACCGCCGTCGTGTATCCGGTGCCGGTGGTGAGAGATGATGACTCCCACTGCAAGCGTATCGATCCGGTTAAACCGAGGATCGAATCCACCTCCGCGGCGAATTGGAGAGTACCGGAGAAAACAGTTACGGCGGAGGAGGGGAATCGGGTGGTGCATTGCGTCGAGACGGTGAAGAGCAGTAGTTACCGAAGGACGCAGTCGGAGAGGAGGAGGTCGACGACAACAACGACGGAGATGCGGCGGGTGGAGTACCGGAGGTCGGAATCGTCGGCGGCGGAGAGGGTGAGCGCGTGGGGTTCACGCTCGGTTGAGGGGCTGAGCAATGAAGAGTTCCGAGTGACGGTGGAGAGGTTCATAATGGAGAAGAAGAAGACTCTGACGGAGGAGAACGACGTCGTTGTTCCGAGAAGAGGACGTCATAACAGTCGTTTCATTTCTGATGGTAGAAGAAGTAGCTGCTCTGCTTTGCTTCGGAATTAGGGGCAAAAATGTAAATTCAGTAGTGATTTGTTTTTTTTTCTTTGGGGGTAATGTTAAGGGTTTTTCATTTTTAATTTCCAGTATTTTTAAATTTGCTGGGTTGTTTTCTTCATTGGGTTTTTAGGCAAAATTTCTAGCATAATGTAAGAAATTTATTATAAGTCGTCTGGGTATTTCAATAGAATTATGAAATAATTTATAATATTAGTTTCATTTCGTAAATATCCATGGAAATTAACTTTAAAGAAATTAAGCTAATAATTATTTTTTCTCATATGTAACGCCTTACGCGAATTAATTAGATTAACCTTAGGGTTTTTAACCATGCTGCATAATTTATGACGTTAGAACATACAATCATGTGAATATAAATGTATTCTAACATATTCTTAAGCTCTAATATCTATCCCTTGACTATATTTAACTGTATTATCAAATGTATAACCTAGTTACAAATATCTATTGTCTATTACAATTATGTGAATAAAATTTGTTTTCCTACTACTAAATTACAATCTTATTCAACATTTTTTTGTTATCAATACAATTTTCTTTTATTTTAGTCTATTTGACGTTTTGGATAACTGAGAATTATTGGTAAAGATTAATAATAATTTTAAAAAATCACTGAAATCAAAATATAAAAAATCAAATATTAAATGAAATGAAAAAAAAATCATGTGATTTTTCCAAAAAAAAATATGTTCATTTCTTTTATATTGTTTTAGTCAAAATTTTAAATAATTATAAAGTTTCTTTAAAATATCACAACTATATAAAAATAGTTTGAAAAATAGATCTTTGCTTAAATTAGATGACATAATTATATAATAGGAAAAATTAAGAATAATTAATTAAAAACTCATAACATTAAGAGAAAATGTGAGTATAAAGTATAAATGATATATTAATTTTACAATTTTCATTTGAGACAAATAATAATAAATAATGAGTTGCCAACAAAATAATGTCTTTTCTATTCCCCCTCCCCCGCCTTTTAACCAACTTTTATTTAATTAATTAAATTTCTCCGACCTTTTGTTATATAAAATCCGAGTTGTTTGGTCCGATCTTATCCACTTCTTTTCTAATGTGCCATTGGCACCAAGTCATCAACATTTCCTCTTTTGTTGTTTCTCTATAATGTTCTTCAATAAGCCAAGATGTTAGATGTCTCTACCAAATCGGAATAAACTAAAAGTTTACAGCGAATTTTAAAACATCTTCAATAATATATTAATTAATTTACAATTTAGGATCTAACATTTTAAATTTTTCAAGAAATTTAAAAAAATCAGTTTAGGTCGCTAATCACTTACAAATTATAATCATACATTTATTGTGTACCTACAAATATTTGCAATCAATGTTTATACAATTAATTAACTTCTTACTACCTATAACTACTAATCATGCGCAATCTTAATCCACCCATTTGAGATTCATATTTTGTTAACTACATTTTCCAAAGGGGCTAGAAAACTACATAGCAAAATATCATTTATTAATTAGAAAATTTTATTTGAAAATTATTTGAGTTTAATGTTCAGACATGATAGCAAAGGATGTTCCAATGCACCCCACCAAAAGAGGTCAAACTATATAATTAAAGTTATAATTTAATTATAATATATACATATCAGAAGGTGGCATTAGAATGAATCAAGTAACAGAGAGACAAAAACACACATGACCCTACATCTCTGCTCCTTGGATCCCCAACTTCTTGATTCTTTAATTATTACTTTTGCAGTGGCAATTACACACAAATTGGCCATCGCTTTGGTTTAATTAATCACGCGTTGGGTACTCATTATCCACTCGTGAGTGTTGCTTTTATATGTTTTTTCCCCATGTCCGTACAACAATTATCATATATCAATAAATGAGAAATTTGTTGAATTCTACAAACAATTTTAACAGTTTAAGAAAAAAAAATACATAGTTGGCAAATATTCATTATAGTCTACAAAACATAGCATCAAATATATAGATTTAACAAAAATATTGCTATAATTATATATAGTTTGGAATTTAGAGAATAATATAAATTGGACTTATAACTTAACTATAACTTTAAGGGGGAATAAAGCTTTATTATTAAAAAAAAAAAAGGATGATAGAATTGTTGTTATACAAGTGGGAGTGTATATTGATTTGATGATTTTGTTTTTGGTATTCCTTAGCATCAAAGAAACGGAATGACAAAAAATAATAATAATTGGGATCTCTGTCTATTTCCTTTTTCATTCTTGTGAAGAAATGTTTCTGTACTTTCCTAGGCTTTTAGTTAACAAAAAAGCTCGCTTTTCAAATTTAAAATAAAATTCTTGGGGACCTATTTGGTGATTTCAAAAGTGTGATGGTCAAATAAAACCAAAATATGAACTACTTTACTTATTTAATTATTTATAAAATTTTCAAAAGAAATTTCGTCACATATAAATAATTAAAATTTATTTTTTATATTCAATTCACGGCAACTACTTATATTAATTTTTATTTTAAATTAGAGACCATTGATATGTTTTTAGTCCATACATAAATTAGACCTATTTCAAGATATTCATCATCATCACCATCATCTCATGATAAATTTAATATAATTTTAAAAATTTAACGTTAGTCATGTTTCACAATTTCTGAAAAACAAGTTAGCATATTTCACATTTTAATATTTTATACAAAATAATAGTTTCTTTGATGGGCCTCCCGAACTGAACATCAGGCCTAATAAACCATAAACAACTAAATCAGTAAAGGGCTCTAAATTAGGGCCCAAAGTTGTTTCGGACCAAACGCAGCGTTTTAATTCTTACTTTTGCAACCATGTGAGCAGGACCACCGTACTACGGTGCTCTCTTTCCC